TCATGTCCTTAACAATGTGTCAAAAAAATATATGCAAATAAGATATAGAATTAAAGGTTGAATACATTAATTTATCAATTATTAGACAAAATATACAATCACGAAATAATAAGGATACAAGATCAATTATAAGATATGCATAGAGGCATAGTTGAAAAAAAAAAAAAAAAAAAAAAAAAAAATCCATGCATATGTAGAATTTGAATATATATACATTTCATAGATTATCAAAGAAGTTAATATTACTTAAATATTATCTAAATTACACATAAAAAATAAAAATAATAATTATAATAATTATAAAATAAGATTTGAAAGTAAGATTTATTTTACATTTATATTATAAAGAATTTATTATATTTTTGAGATTTATATTAATATAAAGTTATAATGTAAAAATTTTAATATTTTATTGTAATTAAATTTATGTATAAATTAAGTGCATCATTAATATAGAAATTTTAATATTTTTAAATATTTAATTATATTGATAAATAATGAAAGGAATTATTTTCAATATAAACCAGAACAAAATTAGTGAAATAAGAAGTGTTTTCTTTTCATCACTTCAATTTTTAAGTTGAAATTTTGGTATTTTTTTACTAAATATTATTATAAAAATATTTAGAATATTTTTTTGTAGTGGGAAAGCCTTTTTACAATTTAAAATATTTTCTATTAGACATGTCATCCGAACATAGTTTCAAAAAAGTAAACAAAGCATCACAAATGTTATATGACAAAGATGTTTGAAAAAAAAATAAAATTTTAAATAACTTGCAATTGAAAAAATATTTTTAACAAAAAAACTTTAAAAAAATTCATTGAAATTACTACATTATTGGAACTTGATTTAGAAGGATATTCAAATTTAACCATGGTACCAAATAAATTGGATTATATGACTTTTTTTGAAGATACTTGATTTAAAATATTATATAAAATTAAGATAATTATCAACATTAATGAGAAGTCTTCTTGCTTTGACTACCATTAATGTAGAGGGGTGTCCAAGCTTGACATCATTTCCAAATAAATTAAACTGTCTCATATGTGGATGTACTCATTACTAAATGAATTGAGCAATTTCACAACTTTGACTATCATAAATATATAAAAGTATATAATTTCAATATTATTGATAAATGAATTAAGTAACTTCACATCTTTGACTATCTTAAGAATAAATAATTACTTAGTCTTAATGTCGTTGCTAAATAAATTGAGCTACCTCATATCTTTTAGTTAATGAGCTCTTTAAAGAATTTTGTCTTCATTCTAGCTCAATGGCCAGTATGTCAATACTTTCTAAAATGGAATGTATTTTGATATTATTTTATGTCATTTATTTATATAAAAAGAATAATAGCTATCAACTTTTATTAAAGAAAAAAATAGTTGAAGCTATTTAATAATGTAACTATATAAAAGGTTTTTAATACCATACTTTATATTTGGATCATTAAATAATCAAACTATGAATATAGTATCTCATTATATTTAAACTACAAGCTTTAGTTTTTTTTTAAAAAAATCTATTAAGTATTGAATCTATTTAAATTTTTTATCTAATTTAGCTTAACATTAAATTTGGTAAATTTAATACAATAATTTTGTACTTTATGATATTATATTTTACAATATATACAAAAGTTTTTATATCAAAATTTTTTTTCTTGTATTGATTATTTGCATTAGAATATATTAATTTTTTTTGTATTTTGGTTTTGATAAAATAATATTAAAGCTCTTAGAAGTTGTTGTCATCACTTGGTTTGTTCTTCTTCAATCCAAACTTTATTCTTAGTGCCTTTTACTAACTTGGTGGTCATCTGCAATTTACTTGATTAAAAATTGTTCTAATGAACTTACTTTTATTATTGTCAATATTAAAATTTTGATATTATTTTTTAAATCCATTCTAAAATAAAATAATAAAAGACTTATTTTTTTAATCCACATCACAAGTTATTAGAATTTTGCAACATACATAGTAATCAAATGTGATTTTTGTTGTAAAAATTTGTTTATTTTTTCAATTTTTTAAATATAGTCATGAATGTCACTAAAAATAATTTCAAATTTTATACAGGTTTTTAATATTTTAATATAAAAATATAAAAATATAAAATAGCACTTCCATATTAAAATGCACTAATAAATTCTTTCTTAAGTGATATCATTAAAATACAAATGAGAATTTAAGCATAAAAAATTCATTCTAATTATACATATATATATTCTATGGTTATAATTACTAATATCTAAAAAACTTACTCAAAAAGTTTTAAAAAGATTATAAAGATTAGAATTTATTTCATATGTATTATCACTTGTTTTAAGTATATCTTTTATAATAATTATTATTTTTTATTTTTCTTAGATGATTTTAGCTTAAAATTAAACAAATTTAAATAATATATAAGTTTAATTAGAAGAAGATAATCTAAAACCTATTATTTTATATAGAAACTTCTTCAAAGAAGTCTAGTCTATTTTTTTTTTGAAAAACAAATGTTAAAAAACAAAATAATTGTATGAAGGTATATAGTCAACAATATTTAGAATAAAATAATATTTCCTAAGAAGTCAAATAATCCACTCACTTCTTTAAAAATAAAACAACAAAAAAAAATATGCATCTTGTTAAATTGTTAATAACATAAATCATAATAAAATATTGAGATGGCAATATAATTTTTTATTACCAAAAGAAAAGAAAGAAAGAAAAAAAAACAACAACAACAACAACAACAACAATAACAACAAAAAATTAAAAAAAACACACTTAGAAGATAGAAAAGAAATTAAAATAGCTATTTTTTATTAAAAGAAAACTAAAGAGTCTTAAACTAAGACTAAATAAGAAAAAAGATTTTTACAAGACTAATAATAGTCTCTATCTTGTCTTCTTATATACTAGCTATTAAAGTCTTGTGGAGGCTTATTAACAACCATAAGATTTATTATTCAAATGTCAAATTGTAGATTGCTTCTCATATGACTTTTTAAAAGTATGACACTTATTAGATAAGTTTAAATAGATGCATGGCATGTACATAAGAGTCTATATATTTAATTTGCACCTTAAAAAATTTCATGAATTTTTTTCACAAAAGGTATTATTTTCTTAGCATGTTTCTACTTACTTCTATTTACTTCAATAATATATGCATCTATTATAGATTGAAGTTGTTAAAAAAAATCATTTTATTTTTGGAATTAAATAAAATAAAATAAAAATTGAATTATAAAAAACTTCAATAGCCTAGTATCAACTGTATTTTTAAACCAAATTTAATATAATGCAACTACAAAAATACTAGAATAAAAACCATTATTATTTTCAATCTTAAGTACATAATAAAGTTATTATAAATACAAAAATAATTAATATTATTATTTTTATTAAGATACAAAATTATAAAAAAAATCTTATATCTTAATGAAGACTTAGAATAAATATTTTACATTATAAAAAAAAGACTTTATATATCTTTAGTAATAGAAGCCATAAGTCATAATTAGATTCAAACAAAAAAGTAAAGTTTTAGCTCAAATAATTTGTATTAATAATAAAGACAAATTTTCAAAAGAATCTTAAAGATTGAAAAAACACAAAAAATCCAGAAAAAAATTACATAAATAACTTGTAAATCTATAAGTTTTCTATCAAATTTATAAAGATATCTTAAAGAATTGAAAAAATACTTGTAAGAATTAAAAATGATCCTCTATAAGTCGGAGTTATTTTGTAGCTATCCAATTACAAATATAAAGTCTAGCAAACATTAATATCTATATCTAAAGTGTAAGATCAAGTATGGAATAAAGTTTCAAGGCACAAAAATAAAGCTTTAAATTTTAAATATTAATTTGGCCAATTTTTTCTCTTACAATGTATATGTAAAAGATTCTATTTGTCTTTCATATATTATTTGAATTTAAATCTTAAAAAATAATAATATTAAAATATTAATTAATAAATAAATAATATTCTATTATTGGATTAAATTTAGTTATACTAATCTTTAAGTTGTCAAATTATTATATTTTTTCTTTTTAATCTACTTATAATATTTTTAATATATATATATATATATATATATAACTATTTCTTTGATAAATTTAATAAATTTATTGTTATTACATTTGAAATTTAAGTGAAGTTTAAAGTATTGACACAAGATGTGATACTTCTAAAATTTTGAAAGATTAAAAAGTAAATGATAAATAAGTTTATTTGATATCTAATTTTATGTGAATTAAAATTTAATATTTTATAAGATTGTTTTGGTTTATTTGATTTTTTTTCTAAAGCTAAATTTATTATTATTAGGTTTTAATGTATGAGATATTTTTTTATTCTTATTCATATATATATATATATATATATATATCAAAATGTTCCATTAAAGTGAAGTAGTGCAAATCATATAATGAATCAATAATGAAATGATAAATATTAGCTATGGATTAATCAATTGATAGATTGCACAACAACATTAAAGTACATACTCTTCCGACTTCATGAATGCAATTCAATAAATTGGTATTCAAACAATGTTTCTGCTTACAAACACTACATTTTTCATATATTTTTTAATATGATTGAATTGTATCAGGTGCAATGGATGGCTTTTAAAATAGTTTGAAACAATCCCTCAACACATGGACAATTAATTCAATCATCTACAACTAGGTTTCTATATCATAAATATATACTTTGTTTGTTTTACTCCAAATCATCCTACAAACACATGTTCAAGGATTTTCCCAAAGATTTAATATTATTACAAAATCTTGCTAAGTTTCACAATGCATAACCCATTTAATTCCAATCATAAACCATTACTCGCTTGACATGTTATATATATATTTAGCAAAACCAGGGCAGACCTCCAAAACGCTTGAAGAATGTATGTTCGAGCGACCGATGGTAAAATGATCCGTTCAATGGTCGGAGAGAAGCCGTTACGGAGATGACCCTTTCACATCCCCGGGACAAAGCCCTGCCTCGTCTCCGCCGTGCCGCTGTTGTCGAGATGCTGCAGCTGTGGGCACAATTCGGCCGCACTTCCATGTTGTATGCTTGTGATGTCACTCAATTCTGAGCTCTCAGGCAGACCTGTGAACAGTTTCTACAGCATTCTGGGAAGAAGAAACAGCTCAGTGATGGCGGCACTGTCTTCGGCCATCATGATTCGCGACACTGCAGGATGAAGCTTCCGTCAGTGGACGAGAATTCCACATAGTGCACCTTTGACGACGATCTGATACCAAATTGGCAGAGGAGAGGAACGACGTAGCGGAAGGTGAGTGCTTGACGCTTGCTGTTGGAGAAACCTGAGGCGCTTGGAAGGGTGCTGCGACGGACTGCGCCATGGCCAGCATTTCGACTGTACCAATCGACAAACTCTTGTTGGATCCGAGCTCTGTGCTGCGCAAGCCTGTCAACGTGATCAGCCCCAAGAGGCGTAAATGCCCCCGAGAGCGATTTGTCCAGAGTATGGAGAATTTGGCCATACCTCTAGGACAATCGGAGAAACGCCTTCGTTTGTATGGAGCAGGCGGTGACGGCGCCATGGACTCGGAGAATGGTAACAGCGAAGCTATATGGTCATTCTCCCTCGTTTAGTCCTCCACATTTATACTTCACCATAACTTCTGGCAACTTGTTTGAAGCTTTTTGGGTCAGTTTTCGGTAGTTATTCTCAATTTATTCTGAGTCCGGACGTCGTTTCGATGGTTATGGAAATGAATGTAGCCACAAGCAGTGCAGAGCGTGTGCGAGTGACGGTAAGGGTGAGGCCACCCACCCGAGTGGAGCAAAGGGAAGAAGATGGTCCGCCCTTTATTTTCCTGGACACCGAAAAAAATACTGTTATTTTACGCCGCAGGTATCGGTGTCCTCGACTCTTGTGTATATTCTCACTTCGCACAGCATGCGGGTCTGCTCTGAAACGAATCAAGGAGACACATTTTCTAGCATTTCGTCTTTTTTCCGCGCAGACAAGTTCTTCCTCTGCTGATGGGAATACTTTATTTGCTCTGTGAGCTATTTAGCTGTCTTCTCAGGAACAGATACGATTTGTGTATGTAGAAAGGCACTTACTTCAAACACATGTACCATGACTTCTGCGGTTTAGTACGAGGACAATGTCGACTTCACTCGGGGTCATTTATTCATTTATTTATTTATATATGAAATATTCGAGATTGTAGTCAGGTTGGAACAATTCTTCTGTTATACCAGCTTGGTTACACCGTTCCAGAGGCTGACGAGCTGTATTGTCAAGTTTGCTGAATTCCATGTTCGGTCGCAATCGTTGTTTTATTTGTTTGTACATTTATTTACAGCATGGATTTTAATGGATTCAGGTAGTTTGATTTCACCTAGGAGTGTTTGATTCTTTGACATGGAGGCCTTGTTTATTGATAGTAGCTCTGGTGCATCCATCTTCATTGCCGGCAATTTTGCAGGGGGAGCTTCATGGACTTCACCGAATTCCAGTTCGATGCGGTTCTACCCCCGACAGCCCTTCAAGTCGATGTCTACAACATGGCTGCTCGTGCGGTGGTCCTTGTAAGCCTCCCGTATCTAATCTTCACCTTCTTAGCAATGATAAATCTTGGGAGTTTCAAGCATCACAATCTCAAGAATGAATTGCACAGCATGAGACTGCTGCCCACAATCGTGAAGAGTCTAGGAACTCTGTACGTGTGTGTGTGTGAGTGTGTGTCTGAGTTCATGACTGACAGGATGTTCTGAATGGATACAATGGAACCATTATGGCGTATGGTCAAACTGGAGCAGGCAAAACCTACACCCTCTCCGACAACCTCACAAACGGCGGAGGAGTCACCTCTGTCGGAGGTCAGTCCCTCTTCTCACAGCATCCAACTCCTCGCTGACTTCTCTTCTGCCTCTTCTTCATCTTCTTCATGCCTGCGAGGATGATTGTTCAGGCATTATCCCTCGCTCAGCTGCGGAGATCTTTGACCGAGCCGGCCTGGACCAAGACTACGAGTTCCATGTCTCTATGTCCTACATCCAGATTTACATGGAACAGGTTCCACATTTTCCACCCGATTCTTGGGTAACAGCCTGTGCTATGTTGCATTCTTTGAACACTCTTTCGCCATTTGTTATAACATCTCTAACTGCCACCGACAAGATTGATGTTGGACAGTACAGAAACGAAAATAATGCCGTTGTTATTATCTGACTTCTGCATTAATACGAGCCGTTCCCACCTTCGATGTAAAACATCTGATTTACTTGCTGTGCAGTTGACATAATGACTTTGTTCGTTTTCAGTTCTTTGTCCTCTTTGTGTTATTTGTTTAAAAATGTAAGATCTCAAAGTCATAGATTTTGCTTAATATACTTACAAGTAATACAAAGAGTATTGTGAGAGTATACTGTATAGGAGTGTGATAATAGTGTTTCTAATTTCCGAAAAATACAACATTAATTTATCATTCCACCAGTAAGAAAACATGTATAATGGTTTTAAAAGAAAGATTAAATTTGTTCAAATTATTGACTTGATAACCCACAATTTCTAATCCTCCAGTATTTTTCTTCTAGAAATTTTTTTCTGCTTTGTCAAAAAATTATCAGAAAACATTTATGTCATTTTTAAATTGAAATAGCAAATATGAAACTAAAAATGACAACAATCAGATCCAAGATCTGCTGCGCCCAGAGAGCTGCAACATGCAGATCCGTGAGGGAATGAACGGCGTCTATGTCTCCGGTGTCGAAGAAGTGCAGGTGAAGTCGGTGGAAGATACCATGAAACTGTTGATGCTCGGGGACCGGCACCGATGCCTCTCCTTCACGAAGCTAGTGAGACAATTCTAGTCCTCCTCTAGTGCATATACTCCATTAACCGCTGCGTTACTGATGCTACATCTTACGATGCTCTGATCGCGTGCTGAACATGACGTCCGACCGTGGAATGACAATGGATACAGTGCTTGATGTGCAGAATGCACATTCTTCTCGAAGCCACACCATTGTTATCTTGACTGTGGAGAAGAAAGCTAAGTATAAGACTAGCGAACAGAAAGCTGAATTGGCCGATCGGAGACGAGTTAGTTCCTGCTTTGTGGAGAGCGAAAGGTAAATTGCTGTAAAGTGTAATAAGTTGGTGGATGGTGCGCACTGCAATGTAAAGTCCAGCCTTAATTCTTCTACGAATTTGCACCAGGCATTACGTCGGTAGGGAAGTAAACCACATTTTCACATTGTGCAAATCCTCACAGAACTACTGCTTCGCGGGGTTTGTGTTCCTGCTCAGGGTGCTTGTGGGGAAACTGTTTCTCGTCGACTTGGCTGGATCGGAGCGTCTAAAGAAGAGTGGTAACAGATAATATTCCGAGACTCGTATAGTTCGCAGATCTTGTTGGTGTTTTTTGACTTGTTTTTGGTCTCGCCCCACTTAGAAGCGACGCCAAGGAGTTTCCAGTGGGGAAACCTCTGAGTATGGTCAGGATCCTGGCAAGGCTTCCTGTTCTAGATCATAAGAGATGCATATACTGTTCCGTCAGGTTCTGAAGGCATTCGCGCAAGTGAGGCCATGAGTGTCAACTTATCTCTCACCTGTCTAGGTAAGACTAATCATTTCCTCCATTCGAGCTCTTATACTCGGTCTTCTATTGTTCCCTTTCAAGCTATGTACGTTGACTTCAAAGCAAGACAACAGTGCAACAAAAAAGTCTGATCATGTAACTATGTCATGCACAGGAAAGTGCATTAGCGCTAGGGCAGATCCCGCCATAACTCACGTCCCATTCCGCGACTCTAAGCTGACAAGACTTCTACAAGAGTCACTCGGAGGTATTTGACCATACCTTAAGTAAGTTAAAAGCGTTGGTGCTCTACAGATGGCGTTGTTTGCTTGCTTGCTTGCTTGCATATAAAGTTGCGGAGCGGGCAAACGCTTTGTATCATCAAGTTATATTACTACAAACAAACAAAGCAATCGTTGATGTCCAGGAAATGCAAAGACATCTTTAGTGATCAATATTGCTCCTTGCAGCGAGTACCTGCAAGAGTCGATGTCATCACTCCACTTTGGGTCAAGGGTACGATCCAACTATTTGACCAGAATTTTTTTAAATAAACTCGGAGGTTGTCTCCTCAGTTCAAACTACCCAGAATATTGCTCCAAATCTACCTGAACTTTTCCTCGGAAGGTCCACCAACACATGTTTTTTGGGTTGTGCGGATAGGCTATGAAATTGACGACGCAGGCCGTCGTCAACGTGGAGGAAGAATTCAGGGTGCTCACGAGGAATCTGCAGGAAACAGTGAACTTGCAAGACGAGAAGCTGCAACATCTTGAGGTATGTCACACTTAGGAGAAATCACGAATACAGGAGAAAAAAAAACAAAACAAAACAAAACACAAAAGTACTCACTGAGAGTTGTTGTTTACATCAACAACATGAGCTGTGGTTTTAGCCTGTTTGTTGGGTCAGGTTGGTTTGTTGTAAATATTTAATATTATAATGCAGGCTTCCGTGTTGTCCAAGGACGAGCAACTGGTGCAGGCCCAGCAGAGCTTGGCGGAGAAAGCGAGGCAGGTGGAGCTGCTGCGTGAGGAGCAGAACCGGTTCAACCACAAGTTCATGGAGCAGCTCCGCGTGAAGGACGAGAGCTGGAAGAACAGGTTCGTTTTTTCATTCATCCATGTCTACATCCATCCTTTGGATGAAATATATAAGTCATTCATCTCTAGTTCATCCTTCTCAGGGTTCGGAGTTTTACGTGTCATTTTGTAATAATATTATTTCATTTTTCTATGCCAGTTTTTAAAGAATGAATGGGAAATTATGTTGAATTTTTTCATACATTATTATTTTATAATTCTTTTAATACACAGAAATTGGAATTATTTTATGTCAAATTGTTCATTTTTTTATTTTTTTATTTTTGAAAAATATTCATAGATTGGAGAATGTTAGAAGCAGTGCTACTAATATTCATCAAAAGGTTCGTTTTGGTAATTTGAAGCAAAATGACACTTTCTAAATCAAGATAAGTTTATTTTAAGCTGATTTTTTTGCAATCAAATAATAAATAAAGTTGTACAACTCATTGTTAAATTACTCTTTAATGTGTATGACAATATATGCATCTTTTAACATTATGCTACAAATCTCATGAATTTCTGTTTTGTTGTTTGATATGTAAATAATAAAATTCTGACAGCCTATGCTCTTCTTAATGTTTAATCCAACGCTGATGCAAGTTAAATTTACTGATAAATCCTAATAATTTTGTAAAATATTATTTTTCTATGTTATTTAAGAATTTATTTGTAAGATACGGTGTTTTTAGGACTAACATGTTTTAAATATTGAAAAATACAGAGAATAGAAAACCTACAAGATGAGTTAACAAGATTAAAAAATGCTGAAAACCAATATGCTCTTTCAAGACCCACTCATGTAATAAATAATAATGCTGCCAAGGTATTTTAACTTGCCAAATCTCTTGATCATTAAAACTGAATTCAGAAAATTAGAATATATTCTTTATGAAAAAACTATGCAAATGATTTATTAATCATCAATGATCAGGAAAAATTCAATCAAATGTGCACAACCAATAGTATTAACAATTAAGTAGGTAGATTTTTCATTTAAATCTCCAAAGTGTCTATCATTATTTTTTGAACTTTTTACAACCTACAATCTCATGAAATCACATTACAATAGATATTATTTTATATAAAAAAAACAATGTTCAACATAAATATTGGTTACAAATATCACATCTACAGTCATGACCATGATGTAGGATCTTGCTGCACAAATTATACAACGTGCATATAAACAGCATTATGTTGCTATGCTTTACAAGGTATGTGTGAGATTTTCTATTGCACGCTCTAGTGTGTGAGAACTTTGAAATTTTAGTAGTTTTAATGTGCCGGATTTTAATGCTCAGGAAGTTAATTTTGGTCTGATGTTAACTTATCCCCGTAAAGTTCATAAACATTTCATTACAATATCTTCTAGAAATTAATGATGCTAAAGATACTCAAAATTCAACGAAGCCATATATTAACAATTGTAGCTATTTTTTAAACTAAAAGGAAAGAATGGCATTGGATGTAGGAAAAGAAAAAACTAGAAGTGGTGGTTGGATATCAACTTATGGCAAATTCAGCTGTTAGGGTATTGAAAGGGATACAATTGCTTGATGAGCTTTTCACAAGGAAGAATTTTCCAAAACTTAGTCTAAGATGATTTTTAACATATGAAGCCCTAATCTTGATTTTTATTTTTATTTTTTTTTACAATTTTTTTATTCATTTATTTATTGAATTCTATTATTTGGAATTTTATGGTTTGTAGTATTGAAAGGGAATCTTGGCTGAATCAATGAAAACTTGTCATGAGAAAATTCGACCTCTAGAAATATTATTTTGTGACTTTTTAGAAATTGAATCTTCAGTTTTTGAATAAGTAAATATCTTTAGATAAATTATATGTAAAAAAAGAAAAAAATAAAAATAAATAATATATATGTTATTCATCTCTCTTTCAAAACCAATAAAGAAATACCTTTGAAGCTTTGTTGCTATTATTCACATCTCAACTTACAGCACAAACATTATCATTTTCTATTTCGAAGATTGTTTGTTATACATTCCATTACATGTAAAAGAAATATTGCAAATAAGTTATTGTATAGTTATGATGGTGCTGATAAAATAAATCACTTCTTTGCACAAAGTTTTGATTTTATTTTATTTTATTTGTAGCTTTCATTCATAGAGAGTAATCAACGATAAAAATAATAATAACAATAATATCTTATTAGACGAATCCACTTCGAGTTTTACATTTTATCAAAATATCAAACATTACACGACAAAAGTATCAAATAAGTGCACGTTTTATTTTGTTACTAATATCTTATAATAACATTTGAATATACTTCCCAATCATTTTTTTTTTTTAATTTTAATGTTAGGAATGTTGAATTTACTTTGATTGATGCTTTAAAAGTAATTTTCAAATTTTAATATAATTAATCTTTCATACACGTTTAAAACACCATTTAATATTTACCATACGTTATTTACTTCATGTATTAAAGAAATTCAATGCAATAAATATTTCAATGAATGAAAAATGGAAAGAATTTATTTGAAATCACATAGAATATCAAACCATAATTAAACATACATAACCTACCATGACATAACTAAATCAAGTGTTACACATAATGATGTTACAATAAATATACTCAAATGCAGACAGGTTTTTTTTAATTAACAATATGATATTCAATTGGGTATTCAACAATTTGAATGTTTTCAAATCAAGAATTGACCATCAAATGTTGATCATAATTTTGCATTTACAGAATACAGTTACACTCATACAGGCATGACCCAGTTGTTACTTCAATTGGATTTTCAACAATTTTTTTTTTTTTTTTTTTTTTTTTTTTGTTGCTCACGTAAAGATGATGGATTCAAGGAGAGCACATGGGAACAAGAAGCCGGGAACGAGTTCGGGTGTGAGGTGAGGGGAACCATTGGGAACGTGTAGGGTTAGAGGGAGGGCCCCCGAGGGCGGACTTCTCATTCTGTTTCGATTTGCTTGTCCCGATTGGGGCTTGGAAATATTATTACAGCACGGACCCCCTTCCAAGACCAACCCCCCCACCAGTCCCTCCCTCCCTCCCTCCCTCCCTCCTGCTTCAGGGTTTCAGTCCCCACCATCACCGGCAAACCCAACGCACTAAAAGAAGTAAAACAAAAAAGAAGAAGAAGAGGAAGATAATGAAGAAGAAGAATGACCGGCAACAACAACAACGAAAACAACAACCACCACATGCAAGCAGTAGCAACAGCCGAAGCCGAAGACGATGAAGCGAAGGAGAACGGAGGAAGAGGCGGAGGAGACGGGCAATAAGTTGATGCTGCACCTTGCTATTGCCACCTGCATCTTCGTGCTTTCCACTTGTGCGTAACCTCTGCCTCCCCTCCACCCACCTCGGTTTCTATCTCCTTCATAAATTCCACAGATAAATTAAATAAGAGTAACAAGAATTACACAGGGTCAGTCGGTCAGTCAGTCAGTCAGTTAGTGAATCCAGACACACACACACACAGAGAGAGAGAGAGAGACGACTCGTGTGCAAGAACAACAAAGCAGCACAATACAAACGAGGCGGCGGAGGCGGCAAAGAGGGGCAGGAACTTTCGGAGGAAGCTGCTACTGAAAGAGGAGTGGGGGTGGTGGGGTGGGGCGGGGGCAGTGTCGGTGGTGGGGCGTGTGTGGGGGGCGAGCCCGCTTGTACCAGACTGCAGTGCGCTGGAGCCACCCGAATGCCACGTCATTCCTGACGTGGACGACGAAGGCCACCATGCCTACACCTCCTACTTGGTTTGACACCTCAGCCCTAATAGCCACAGTCTCTCTCTCACACGCCGCTTATTGATTCTGTATTTATGTAAAATTAAAATTGTGCATATATATATGTATATATTACAGACATTGTGGATTGATTTATTCTTGTACTGACAAATCTTAACACCTATATCAGCACTTTGTAAGTAGTGGGTACTTGGTTGCAAACAGATGCTGGTTGGTAAAGATGATAATTTCTTAAGTTGAAAGTCACAACAAAGTTCTTCTTATCATAAAAGAGAAGAATCATATGTTATATCACACATTGCTAATGGAACAATGGAATGCATGATTTGCCATTTGAATGGGGATACAGGAATCATGCCCAAACCATGTGTGTGTCCAAGTAGCACCAATATTGCCACCTCTTCGACGACGCCGTAGACTTTCATCCATCCAAATCACTTCTTCTTCAACAACTTCAGCACCAATCACAAATCTTTCATCCACTTCTCCACTTGCTTCATCCAGTATGTAGTGCCTCCTGTTCCATGCATTCACCTTTTGATTCTTAATTCTATTTCTAATTGTGAAAAACATGCTATATATTTTTTGGTTCTTTGGTATTATTTTTTTATTTTTTATATTACAGCTTATCAAGTTATGCAAAAAAAAAAAAAAAAAAAAAAAAGGAAACAAATTGTAACATTGCATTAAAACTCTAAAGTTCTAAGTTAATATTTTTATAACAATTCTATTTTTACATGTTATTTTTGTAACATCAGTTATCTCTAACACTCATCCTCATTCATAATTATTTTTCAAAAAAAAAAACAAAACAAAACAAAAAAAGAAGGAAGTGTGCCACTCAAGTGGAGTTTCTAAAACAACTTGTCAATCAAATCAAACCCATGCATGTTAAATTCTATTTGCAGGTGAGGTTGATATTGAAACGAACATATTGAACCCTTTACTTTCACATCCATACAAATTTCAAAATCATCAATTTTCTGTAACTGATCCATGGTTTTGTGCAGGTACTCTCCATGTAGACAAACCATTTGTTTTGTTACAAACTATCTTATCAATATAAATATACTGCACTTGTTAAAGCTCAAATCTGGTGTTTGCAAACAAGCAACACCCAAATAAACAAAAACACAATATGATTACATGAATCCCTTGTGTTGGAACCTTAAATTTACAAAGTTTTCAAGTACAAAAATTATACTAATTCACACATAAAATCTATCTATGTACACTTCCACAAGCGCGCACGCATGCACACACACACACACACACACACACACACACATATATATATATATATATATATACACTTGAATGTATGGTGTATGCTTGATTAAAACAATTGACAACACAATTTTTTCCTTATTTAGTTATACTAATTATGAAACTTTCATGAATTCAGTAGTTCACATGTCAGTTTTAAAAAGGAAGGAAATCTATATGTCAAATAGTATGGGTTTGATTGGATTGGGGTGCCAACAGGGCTGGATTTGAATTACACAACACGGGTGGAAGCCAATACGGGTTTTCCACCTGGATACAAAGAGGATGCCCATGCTCGGTGTCATTTCATGCGCCTCCAAGTAAGAAATAGCCAAGTTTTCATGGCCTCCCTTCCATAGTCTTTGTGGGTTGTTTGAAAAAGGATAACTTGATGCTATTTTTGCATTTCATTCATACTCAATTGTAAAAATTCCATAATTTGGAATAAATTTTAAGATTTTAAACAATAAAATGAAAATAAAAATAAAATATGTGTATGAGATATGCCTGTTGATGCATTTTTTGATGAATCTGAATCATGAAAGTGCATACACAGAATCTACAAACTTTGGGAGATTGTAGACATTTGAGGTACTCATGTAGAGATTGTCAATCATTTTATCGAAATTGGGTATGATATTGATCTTTCATCATCAAAGTTATATATATATATATATATATATATATATATAATTGTGAGTGGGTAATGAATAAGTTCATTTTATTTGTTCAAATTATGTAGTGAATGCTTTGCTTTAACAAGAAGGACTCAATTATTCTAAGATTGCTATTGTGTTATATGCAAAGATTTTGTTTGTATATTTGTATTTATATCTATATAAAGACAACCATAAAAAAAATGTGTTTTTATTTCATTTTATTTTTTATTGTTATGCTTTTTTTTTTAGTTATTTATTTATATGAAATGTGGAATGTGCATAGTTATGTGCATTGGCATTTCCAAGGTGTTTAAGCCAAGATACAAGCACCCCAATGCTTAAGAAATTTCGAAGAGTTGATAATATTGCTTTATCTAACAACGACATAAACACCATTAACATGATGAAACCATGTCGTGCATTGTGTTTTGGTGTTCTACAAACTTGTCAACAGTACATGAAATTCTTTGTGGGCACTCCTCAACAATATATATATATATATATATATATATATATATATTGTTACAAATATCAAAAAATGCTATATTTCAATTTCTTATCTTATCTTCTCCTTGTGTTTAATCACTCAACACTTTGTCATATTAAAGTAACAATTCTGTAAAATTTTAACTGTCCTAACATGTGAATGTGATATATGTTGGACACTTATGTATGATTAAGATAGTATTTTAAATTATTTTCTCACATAAATTATCATACACTTTAGCTTTAGGTGTTTTTTTTATTAACTTTTGTAATTACCATATCTAACCAATTATGTGGCTTGATTGCATTTGAAACAGTGCCCAGAAACAGATATGAGAGATTATGGTGACTATCCAAATTGCAATACATTAGGACTTGAAAATCAAGTAGAAAGCTATGTTGTTTCTATTTACAGATGACATGTTCAGAAATAAATTTATTGATATTGTTGTTTACATGGTGAATCGAAAGCTGATAGGTTTAAAATGAGTGAATGAATGTATGTATATGATAAATTGATCAAGTGTTCTGGTAATTTCTTATACAAATTGTAGAGATGGAAAATGCCTAGTAATGATTATTTGACCTTAGTAAAAAAAAACTCTAAAAATTCATGGAAAACTTAGCAAATCTAACATAATTGAATTTCATGAATAAAATGCAACTCAACATTCATATATATATATATATATATATATATATGTGTGTGTGTGTGTGTGTATGTGACTTATCTGTAGCACATAAAGAAATCGTAATCAATATTTACAAAATTTTATTCATTATATATATATATATATATATATATGTAAGTAAATTTACTTAAATGTTTCATAACATGATGTATCAATTGGAGTTAACTGCTGGTACCAAACTATTAAAATACATTTGGTAATTTTCTTAAGTTTATATCATATAATGTTGTTCCCTTCTACAGAAAAATAAAATATTGAGCACTACTTTTCAGAATATATATATATATATATATATATATATATATTTTTTGAGAAATAGGACATTCTTTTATTCCCTGCTGTTTTGTTTAATAACCTTGATAGTGAGATAAAACTGAAACTAATATGTGGAAACTAGATAAGAATGTGCCCAGTTCGAGTTTTCATTCCTCATTTCTGCTTTGAACCAAAATTGCTTTGACTGCATCTTCTAATGATATCTTTTCCTCATGCACAAGCATTTATTCTATCCAAATAATATTTTTCATGTTCTGCAGTAGATACTTACATGAAAAATCATCTCATGTTCCTGTCAGATACAACCATTTGCATGATTCCATTGCTTACAGTGAATGGTCTAACAAATGTAAGACAAAACTTTAAACATTAACACAAGCATTATTATTTAATACAACCCATTGTTACATTTGATTCATCAACCAAAACTGCACTTTCTTTACAGCTCCATATCATACAGCTACTCCATGCTTCAAAAACAGCAATCAGAATTTTTATCAAGTGTAGATCAAAACTCGTAAACCAAAAAGGATTACTGCATTTTGAATTCTTTGTTACATTCTTCCAAGCTTTGACACAAAATTATGCACCAAAGCTGTGTGAAGCCTGACCCTCCAACACCATGATACTAGTTAGTTTCACAACTGCTCACCACCCATGTCTAGCTCATTACACAACAACAAAAATACAATAGCATCTCTATGCATCGAATAATCTCTAGTTGTTTAAAGAATTTCTAGTGCAATTTCTCGGTTTGTTTCCCCAGCTGAAAGATACATCCACTAGTGGAAACCGTGCTTGGAATTGAGCACCGATGGATCAGCACCCGACATTAAACCCTACAATGCAGGTGCGAGAAATACGCATCAAAAGTGGGTGCTTGAGTAAGCAAATGCAAAGCTGACAGTAGTTAACTTGGAATCAGTTTCAAGTTACTGGCATCTCAGTCTCCAGCTTCGAGAACTGAGATAACGATAACGAGAGACTGTCAACTCGTTGATGACAGTAAACGAGACGCACTAGGAGATATGTTAGTTGCAGGTCTGCTTGATCTCTGGCATGGAATATCTTCTGTTTTTTGAGCAGGAAACATTCTCGTGCTTTGCACTGGCAGCGTTGAAGGCTTAACCCGCAGACAAGCTTCAGATCTCGCCTGGTCGTAGAAATTACTCTCAACAGAATGGCTACTGGCACTCGTAAGGTAGGACTCTGAAACTCGTGGTCTCCAAGGCATAGCAAGCTATTTCTTGAAGTGAATTAATGGGCCAAAGAGTGAGAGCTAGGTTCTAGGTCTAACCCTCCTACCGCTGGCATCAGTTCCATCAGACAACTGACCCCACACACTGCGATTCCGATTCGAGATGACACCAGTAACGACGCTTTCTTCGCAAACACCAGCTACGGTTTTTAACAACTCGGACTGCAAAGTGGGACAACTATCGCGCAGGTATTCAAATCCTTCCGATTGCATCACGGCAGCAAGGTTCGCAGCCGCAAATTTCAAGCAAACAGCCTTCAACTCTGCAGCGTGGTGTTGTTCGGCAAGGGCGAGAGTTGTCGCCACTGTGTCCACGCTGACATTTTCGCACAGCTTGGACTCGCACAAGAGCCGGAGCCGATCGAGGCCATACCTATCTGCTGCAGCCAACAGATGCTGGGCTAACAGGATGGACGTGGACGGTGCTCCAGCAAGCTCTTTCATATCCGGTAGAGAATCTCGGTAGATGAAATGTAGCAGCGCCTTAAACACCTGCCAGAACACTGGCAGTTAGCACATACTCTGCAGAACACTATTCTGTGTCTCATAATAGACCCAAGCTGGCTTAACTAGGGTACAACATGCCAAAAATAACCAGACGGACAAAGAAGGCACGCCCAGCATTCTTCCGATTAAGACAACAACATTCAAGATTTTGCAGACTTAAATGTTCACTCACTCCAGATTGGCTAAGGGATGATAATGTCTGGACTGAACCTAAGTGACTTCACTAGTATCCGCTAGCAATTTTCAATTGTCGACCAGAGGACTGCAGTTCACCATCTCAGTATACATTCTAGGTATGCTGAATTGAACGTTCAAGCTATGATTATTACGTGGGACACATGACCAGCAAACCATAATTTTGAAAAACGCTGGACATGAACTACTGCTAAGCGAGGCTATATATAAAACGCTGGAACAACGTCAGCCAACTGTTTCTGTCACTGTCAGCTCTACTTTTGTTCATAGATATACCACGGATACAAATATTTCAAACTCCCTACAGAGTGGGATGTTTCTACCAAATGGTGTCAAAATATTCTAGCAGGCAGTTCCCTGAAACGACGGTGGAATCCTGCAAAACTTTTCTATTAATACACCCCATAAAGCCAGCATTGCACACATGTAGACGCTTACTGGAGGTTCGATGTCTTTGATTTCGATATTGCCGCTACTTCGATCTCGCATAGGCCCAAAGAGCTGCGCTTGGAATACAGGCGACCGGGCTGCCAAAACAAGCTTGTGAGCATGATACAGTTCTCCGTCCACCTCTAACGTGACGTCAGTGCCTTCGCCGCTGTCCAGTAAGGCGCCAAAATGCTCCCCTAAGTCAAGCTCAGGAACAGGGATAGAGTACATCCTAGGACCCTGAGTGGATGACACTACCACACCCACAGTGCAGGTGATGGCCAAGCTATCGTTCTTCAGGAAATCCGACGTCTCCAGGACGGCGCGTCTGAAGAAGCGCTTGTAACCCCACATGCTGCCCCGGTACTTGAGGGTATAGGGGCCGCTCTCGAGGGAGCGATCGAAGTGGCTGTGCACCTTGTGCTTACCCTTGCCGCTCTGATCTAAGAGCGTCAATTCAAACAACGCCCGAACATCCGTGCCCTCGCTCGCCAGTGCTATGAACACCGACACATAGAGAGAATTGTCTTCGGCATTCTTGCCGTCGGGATAAAAGTAGATGGCCCACTGGTAGCCCCCTACAAAAAAGCTCTCACTAGCAATATACTTACCCACTCCCATGCCCTTGGCCAAGGAGTAGCCATTGATGGTAAAATGGTGCGAGCCGTTCACCGTTTCAGTAACACACCTGGAGCGTGTGTTCGAATTACCAGCAGCAGCTGTGCACGCCATCGGAGTCCGAGCCATGTGCTCTCTCCTTCATCACCTGACTCCGATATCGACTGCAAAAACCTGCACAAACCCGCGCCACTGCACAGCCTCCCAACTCCTGTCCTAACCTCGAAACCCGCCGAATTCCGCCGAATTCATAAAAGCCCTATCCTACAATCCTAGCAAGTTGGCGAGATACCACCTTCGCCATCTCATATCACTGAAATAAAGCGGCAAGTAACCCAGCCAAGCAAGAAGAGAGCAACACAAGACTGACGCGAAACGGGTGCAAAAAGAGAGAGAGAGAGAGAGAGAGAGGAAGGGGGGAGGGGGGGGAGCGACAAGGGATAGTGAAGCAAAACCAACTGCTGTGAGAGCATCAAACCTAATAAGCAAGTGGTGGCAGGGAGAAGACGACGAAGACGAGGAAGAATAAGAGGAACTAGCAGAAGTCGGGGAACGAGGGTTGATCAACCCCAAGGTAATTGGCCCGTGTTCTTCCCATGGCCGGATATCAGACTGTACTTCGATATGATCCGATCGTAGACATCGTACCGTAGCGGCTCAAAGGGGCTCCGATATCCGGTGCCAGTACCCGACGTCAGAGACGCGGCTCACCGACAGCGCGAGGATCCCGCACCGCACACCTCGAGGGTCGTCGTTGAACCTGGACCAAACCCAGTTGAAGGCGATGGCGCTGCTGTCGATCCACGGTTTCTATGATCGCACCACTGGCACCGCTTCGCCGCGTTTCGGGATTCCCGATCTCACTGAGGCATCGACACTACGGGTATGTCGGAACACACCGTGATGCTGTTCATCCGTTGCATCTTGTCGGCTTCCTCGACGACGACGAACGGGTTCGCGAGGCCCCGACGACGATAACGTTCCGCTCGTTGATTGTGATTGTGATTGTCATCGCGATGAGAGGATACGAAGTCTGTTTTGTCGATCTGAAATTCCTCGATCTGATCGTCGACGTGGGGCCACCATTCCACGACGACAAAACTCCACCGCGAGGATCATGTGGACGTGAGCTTCATGTAACAATTTGAATTGAAATGTGCAACTACATTGGTCATTAATTCCCATCGCAAGTTACCACAGCAAACGTACGAGTTGGAACTCAGGTGTCACCGTTTCAGGTCTTGGCCGTGGGCTCTCGTTCATTTCTCATGGTACTCAGCACCAAGGAATACTGTACTAATTCACATAAATTATAAGTAAAATTGACCCTACGAATGGATTGAATTGTTTGAAGCTGTGGAAACATATTTGTTTTGGTGATATTTTTACGCAATGCAGTATGTTGTGTTATTTTATGTAAGTAATTTTTGACAAGTGTGTTTAATAAAATGTGATTATTTTTGTCTGGTCAGGGGTTGATTCTGTCATGGTGATTCAAGAATACGCTTAAGTGCCATTTTTTTATGAATATCATGGAATCTTGTAAATTGAATACATGGTATTAAATTATATTTTTGGTACAGTACCGAATTTGAAATCTGATGACGACAACTTCCAGATAGATAGTTTGAGTATCTCTTTCAACGGTAACTTCTGCGAGGAAAATCGAATGAATTACTGTATCTTGTTATTAAGATTGATACTAGCGTGTTCGAAATCTCTATAAAATTATGAATTTTGGAAGAAAATAAAATACTCACATACACGCAAACACTCCAAAAAAAAAAAAAAAAAAAAAAAAAAAAATCATTTAAGAAGTAAATAAATAAAATCGAAGTTTCACATGGATTGAATGTAACCAATTCATACTTACAAACAAATATGAAAAACTATGAATACCTCAAAGTCATAAGCATCAAAATTTTCAATAATTGGAGTATCTAATGCAGTAGAACGGTATACATAAATAATATAAAATATACGCACACATACCACTCAGATGCCAGCAACTTGAAACTGATTCCAAGTTAACTACTGTCAGCTTTGCATTTGCTTACTCAAGCACCCACTTTTGATGCGTATTTCTCGCACCTGCATTGTAGGGTTTAATGTCGGGTGCTGATCCATCGGTGCTCAATTCCAAGCACGGTTTCCACTAGTGGATGTATCTTTCAGCTGGGGAAACAAACCGAGAAATTGCACTAGAAATTCTTTAAACAACTAGAGATTATTCGATGCATAGAGATGCTATTGTATTTTTGTTGTTGTGTAATGAGCTAGACATGGGTGGTGAGCAGTTGTGAAACTAACTAGTATCATGGTGTTGGAGGGTCAGGCTTCACACAGCTTTGGTGCATAATTTTGTGTCAAAGCTTGGAAGAATGTAACAAAGAATTCAAAATGCAGTAATCCTTTTTGGTTTACGAGTTTTGATCTACACTTGATAAAAATTCTGATTGCTGTTTTTGAAGCATGGAGTAGCTGTATGATATGGAGCTGTAAAGAAAGTGCAGTTTTGGTTGATGAATCAAATGTAACAATGGGTTGTATTAAATAATAATGCTTGTGTTAATGTTTAAAGTTTTGTCTTACATTTGTTAGACCATTCACTGTAAGCAATGGGCACATTCTTATCTAGTTTCCACATATTAGTTTCAGTTTTATCTCACTATCAAGGTTATTAAACAAAACAGCAGGGAATAAAAGAATATTTTACTCCTAAAATAATAAAACTAAAAATCTTAAAAAACATAACTTACAAAAAACTGCTCAATATTCACTTATTTTCATGACAAGTCAACAAAAAAAAAATATATACATTAACATCCACAAATAAAGTTTTCTTAGATATTCACATTGCTTCTACAAAAATCGATGGATACAACATTGATGCATTTTAGTAATTTTATTTTGAAGTATTAATTATAATTAAAAAAAGTATTCAAATCCTTCAATAAAATTGAACTAAGAATGTATCACTTCAAATATTGAACTTTTCACTATTTGTCTACATAAAGATAGAGATTAAGAGAAAATAATAAAATAAAATAAAATAAAATAAGGAAATAATTCTCTCAGTAATAATTTGGAACAAAATATTGTGAAAATAAAGAAATTTAATATCAATTTAAAATATAATATCATCATTACTAAAATATCAAAATTACTTTTAATAAATTCTTGTTCAATTTCTTTTACGTAAGAACCTAAAAAAAAATGATACGAATTATTTTAAATTAATTTCAAATTGAGGTTTTAGGCATCTAAACTATTCTATTTATATTGTATATATTTGTAATTAATAAATTTATATCTAAAAGTTAAAATTCTCTTAAAATAAAAAATAAAATATTAATAATACCAAATTTAGATTTAAAATATGTAATATTTTAGCCTTAAGTAGATAAAAGCCATGAATATCAAATAATCATTTATAAAATTTATTCTTATCAAAATTATTGTGTCAATTAAAACTATCAAACTACCAAATGTATTCATCTAAATTAGAAATATTTTATTAATTTTATACTAAATTCGTTAAAATGAGTTATATAAAAATTAAACTTAAGTTATATAAATAGACATTAACAATTTAACTATACATCTATATTTTATTTGATGTTTTAAAAGTTTATGAAATCCATGATTAGATTACAATTTGAATTAATTTATATTTCTAAAAGTTGATTTAAAGTAAGCTTATATATATATATATATATATATATATATATATCTATCCATCATTTAAAATTTTAAAACATATTTTTTCCAAATTTATAATCATTTTCATATTATTATATATAATTTATTATTTAGATAGAAATAAAATACATCTTAAATATATCTTAAAGCATGAATATAAGATTCATTGAAGTATAAATTATTTGGTACAAAGTTGTTTCTATAAGTTAGATTTAGTCTATTTATCAAATTTATCTTTTTCCATCTTATGAATAAATTAAAAAATTATAAAAATAAATGATCATATTTTCTTATATTATTATCAAAATTATTTTTATAATTATGTACTTTTTATATATATAGTAAATTTTTAAAAATTGGTTCTTAGATTGATTTTTATATTGAGGATAGAATAATATTAATCACATTTCTTAGCTTTGTTATATTAATCAAGTCTTTTTTTTAATAATTGAATTGTGGTGAATGAAGCAAAGCAAAATGAATTCAAAATGTGATTAAGTTTTATATGTTGAGTAAAAGCAATGTATTTCATGTGTTTCCTAATAATTTTGAATCATCATCTAGCTTGTGGGAGTATACTAGATTTGTCAAGAATTCAACAATTGTGGAGGAAAAATTAACATATCCACTACCATATTTTTTGAAGGCTCTAATCAATGTCGGAGTATATATTGAGAGCATATTCATTTGAATATATTGTCACAGACATATACATTTACTCCAATATTTACTTATATAATTAAGTAGAAATAGGTAAATATAGATTAATTTCATAAAGTCTTCTAAAGAAACTTCCTAAAAGCTTTATAAATGTGGTTTTGACTTTAGATATGTTTGTAGGTTAGAAGCTTGGCCAACAAGTTAATCACGTGTTGATAGCTTGTAGAATAAGCTAGCTATGTGGCACATATATAGATAACTTGCCTTGCAAGTTAAGACATGTGGCTAGCAAAGTCAATACATGTTGGAGGTCCTATAGAATATTGCCACGTAGCTCTTAGCTAGAGAGTATATATGGAGGCAAGAGTGAAGCCTTCTTTACTCTTGTCAATGCCTTTCTAGTCTTTAATCTTGTTCTAAGACTTTCTAGTCTTCTTATTTTTGGCAATAGCCATTGAAGTTCAATATTATATCATCTTTGAGTGACTTTTTAGTTCTTTTCAATGATACAAGACTATATTAAGGATTTTCTTTCTTTGAGATTCATGTCCTTGACAGTTTGATAAGAATGTTAACTTATAGTTTTTATCTTTTTTTAGAAGTGAATAGATGATCACACTTCTATTATTATATTTTGAAGGTTACAGACTACTCATCTTTAAATAATTAATCTTATTTTCTAATATAGATCTTTTTTTCAAAGAGAGTGGATTATTCCTCTTTATGAAATTTTTTATTTGATATTAGAGGTTGTAGATTATTTTCCTCTAATTAAACTTTTTGAAGTTGTTTGAGTTGTTTATAGAAAGAAAGATTATGGGTGCTACTCTCAATGGAAGTGAGAATAGATTTGCAACTATTGTAGATCTTCATGAGTTTGTCAACACTTCGAGAATAAAAATCTTACGTATTTCTAGTGTGAATCATAGAGGTACTATTCCTACACTTCTAAAAAAAAGTTCAAAGTCTACGGAAAGAAGTTGTACAATTGAAGGAAGCAAATACATCGACCTCACAACCAAATCTAAAGAATTTCTCTTGTATAATTATGACAGAGACAAGGATTAATATGCGTGAAAAGTTTTATGGAACAAGATCAAAATTGTAAGGATTTTTACAACAAGTCAAGCTCTATCTAAGATTGCATTCCTTCCAATACTTCAATGGATTTACTCAAGTTG